AGTGTCTTTTTGGACCTTATTGTTGTTAATAAACGACCACGTACTTTTGCCGATATTATCTGAGCTTAGAATTTTGTGATGTATGTTAGTTTTACGTGTAGTAGAGACAAGAGACAAATGTTCTTTCTTTTTATTTAAGTAGAATGTTTTTAAAATGGGATATTTTTTTTGTAACGCGTATAGGGATTTCAAATTAGCAGCAGAAACTCTCACCTCATTGGCCACCCACCCTTTTTACCCTTATTGGTTATTGCTCACCACCACCGGATTTATTCTGGGTTATTACGTTCCTATAGCGATCTCGACACTAGTGTATATTATTATTATTAAAGAAATAAGCGAATCTTTGTAGATGACTCTCGCTGTTGGGACTGCACACTAAAATATAGGTACACTCTGTTTTTTTAAATGTTGATATAGTAGACAACATTAATTTGGTTTGTCTGTCTGAATCGCGAATTAATTCCTGCTGATTTTTGTTTAACGCCTGAATGTCCTTGTATACTTCGTCATTTACCCCAAATATCGCAGTATTCGAGGATTCCTCTTCTTCAAACAACATGTTGGATTCTGCGTCCCATTTGCTTGCGATGATCCTAGTTACCATTGAACCCAATTTCGCTGTATCTCTTCCTAGATTTGAGATCGTGTCTAAACATTCCTGTATAGTTCCATATAGCGTACTGTACGTAAATTTTTATTCCACTTTACGTACGTACATCCATGGGAGAAACATGTACGCCTTATGTACGTGATTTGTATATGATCACCTATAACTCTATAATGTACAAGGTACGTACATGGTACGCCGGAAATTTCGGTTAACTCGTAATTTTGCAGGAGATCATGACATGCGCACGCGCTTTGCTCTTTTAGGTACCAAGATCGGCTTTCCTTACTTTAGTTTTCTAAGTTGTGTAGCTGGACGGTACGCGTGAGTCATTACACATTGGTATAAAAGAGTACTTATAATATTTTGTCGAATCAGTCAGTCTCAGGGAATAAATGGACTAAATGGTATAAACTTATATTTTGGTTAATTTTCCTTAGGGCAATCGATTTCGACTGTTAAAGTCATCATCAGGCCATTGCTGGAATGCATTTTTGATGAACGAATGTTATAAATATATACTAAGGAAAATTAACCAAAATATAAGTTTTTACCATTTAGTCCATTTATTCCCTCAATATTATAAACTTATAAAAAATGGAGCACTACATCAAACACAGTCACACTTTGTGTTTTGTCATTTTGCCGGCCGATGACCATTTCATCCCAATCGTTAGAATTTGGAAACTATCCGCCCGCGCACGGTACACAATCCGCTCTGTTGTTTAACAGAAAGATAACTGAACCGCATGGCTATACAAGTATGTACATTTCAAATACATAGTACGTACACCGCTGGATTTACAGAAGTACATCTCACGTACACTTACGGTTCATGCACGTACGTTTCACGTACATGATTCGCACTACTTTGTACTTGCTGGGTACAAAGTGCCGTACTAATTATGTGTTAGTACGTGTGCAAAAGCAAGTACATTATACATACATAACAGTACGTCTAGTGTACGTACGGTAATGTACGTTCCTAGTATGCACAGAGTTGTGCAAAAACATCGTACCACGTACGTAAAATACACGTACATGAACCGTAAGTGTACGTAAAATGTACATCCGCAAATCCAACGCTCTGCGTACTATGTATTTGCTATGTACGTACTTGTGTTATGTGGGATGTCGTGAAGCCGTTTCAATTTAAATCCATTTTCTTTCTCCATTTTCGGGAATTCCAGGATCGCCATTAATGTTTTATTATTATACCTGTTTTGGAGGATTTCCCATGCTGTCAAATAATTTTATTCAAGATCAGCAGATGTTGTGTAAGTCTTACCAATTCTCCGTCCACATGTCCTTTTAGATAGTGCATTTTTTCCGCATTAGAAAACGTCTCGTTCGAATGGATCAATTTCGCGAACAAGCCCAATTTTCCACGTTTAACCTTTCTTGTATGGTGTCGTACTCATATTGCAGTTTCGTTACTGTGCGTCCTCTCTAAAATATGCATGTGAGAAGCTCACATCATATGCCTGAATGTCTGTCTACTTTAAGCTCGGATATTAGATCCCACTTCTTCTTGGGCTTGGGCAGTGTTTGCTACCGGCGTGAATTATGTTCCAATATTTCCTCCTCCTTCTGGAGCAGTATCCTTCTAAACTGTTTCAGACGAACTTCCTGTTTTTTGATCCGGAGTGCCTTGTTCCTTATCCATTTCTACATTATTCTGCTCTGTCTGCTGGCCTCGGTACTTTAACGGTTTTGGAAGATAACCTGCACGTTAAGTTTGACGTTCCTGATACATCACAGGGCTGATTGTCGTTATGATTTTGTTCGATAGCTTGCCGATAAATTTCCAGTTGACGTTCATGCTCTACATTTTACAACGTACTCTATGGTTTTCCTGGAGGTTGAGTCTTTCCTCATATTGGTCAACATTTTGCACATTTGTTGGCCTATCTCCTGTTGTGTTAGTGCCAGCTCGTTTAATTGCTCCATTTGTAATGCTATATAACACTAAAAAAATCCAAAACCCCACGAAGCACCCGTTTTCGTACCGGAATTAGGTTAGGATTAATGAGCGAACCGTACATGGATGAAAGCTACCAGCTTTATTTAACACCCGATACATGGAAGCACCCAAACGGGCGCTTCCTTACGAAAAATTGTAGTTCCGGACCTGTACATTTATTTGTTTAATTGTTTCCGTAGAGATATGTAAATTGTTTTTGTAGCATCCGATGGCCCCTACAGGGGAAAAATTAATATTTTAGGATTTCAATTTCCCTATGTTAATTTAGAACTAGGACAGAAACCGGCTAGGTAGTGGAGTAATAAATTAAAGAGGTTTTAATATTTGCGCCTGCGCGTTATCGCCCTAGTACGCTGGCGAGCTGGAAAATTTGACGTCCATTTCCAATTATTTTGGGAACAGCACAATTTAGAGGGAGATTTTCGATATTTCGTCGAGCATAGCATAGCGCATAGTGTGCATTTAATCTTTAGTAATTTTTTATCTACCGTACCACTTGAATATCAAGATTTGATACGTTCCTTTCCGTTGATAACAAAAAAAGTGTGCTCTCCTTTGTTTTGTTTCCCGTACATACTGTTCATGCTTAATGCCTCCGTTCTCCGTTAGCAAAATCGCTACCGTGTTCCTGTGCCGTAATCCTGATTTGTTGTTTCCATGGACGTAAGCGCCCGCCGATCCCTGGACTTAGCCGTTTCTTCTACTGAATGATTTTACTGATTAGATACCACCCGCACGATAGGGAATAAAAAATGACGAAAATATACGTATTAAAGCACCAGGAATCCGAATCAAACAAAATCTTGATGACGTCGGTCTGTCAGTCGGTCTGTACTCACATTTCCGACTAAACGGCTGAACCGATCGGAACCAAATTTGGTACCCATATTCTTTAGACACAAAAGAGCTGAAAAGCTTTTAGGCAGAACGCACATTTAATTTCAAGTTATCCCTTGCAATATTTATAAAATATCTTGAGGTAGGAATCCTTAAAATTTCAAAAGAGAGTATATTGACCAATTTTCACGTGGTTTTTGAAAACCATGAAATTTCCTTGAATTCGGCTAAACGATTCAAAGGATATTGTCGAGTTACCCTTTACAGTTTGTATGGATATCTTGAGGTGGTGGTATGTTATGAAATTGTTTTAAATTTGGATAAATCACCGAGTGAATTTGCGCTGTATTTGGGCTGGCCTCCATGAGACCAACTTATTTCTTCTAATCAACTTCAGGACAAAACTAACAACAGCAAATGATTTAATGAATTAACTACCCTATAAGAATTTTCCCAGTTTGTGTTTTCGCTTCCTCGGTCAATACAACTATACCAAATCACCATGTTGGTATCCTCTAATGCATTGGCTCTTTGCCAACTCAATTCAGACAAGTTGCTCTAACATTTTTAATATTTGATGCGAATCAGACTGTTGACTTTTGGTGTTTTCCTATAAAATTTCGTATGTGAAAATACGAGCTAATTCTGTGATTTAGTAGCCTTATTCTCCTGGAACAGAGAACTATGGCTCTTGGAACATTAATCATAGTGGAAACTCACATTATAATTGCATAAGGACGTAGACATAAACCTTCCGAATTATGGATGCATTTCGCTTTCCTGAGAAGTAGTTTCCTGTCTTACAAATTACAGACGATGGAACAATTTTCGTTAATTGTTTGATTGTGCCGTAAAATGTTTAAGTAAATAATTGTTAGGAATTATCTTCTATTGTAAAAAAAAGTTTATTTATGGTTTACCGTGATCATGGCCTGTGCTTCTATTAGAGTGTTCCATTTGTGAAACGGTCATGTACTGAACTCAATAAAGATAAAAATTACGACTGTACATTATCTTGAAATGAACAAGGATCCGTTTTGGAAGCTCAATATGATTCCAAACCAAAAACCATACTTCTAATTTAATCGAGACAAGAAATGAGTGGACTGCCAAAGGTCTTGAGGGAGGCAGTTTTTTTTACTAGTGATAAACCTCCTCATTTAGTTCTCGAGAGGAACTAAAATTGTGGTCGACCATTTCAAAGGAAATAAACTTTACACCAAATTGAGAGAATTTTGTCTTTTAATGCCATGTTTCGTAAAATAAAGTAGATTTTCCATGTTCAAGAGGAACTGAAAGCTCAAAAATTAAAACACTTTCAGGTCACCAATTTAAGTTATTACTTAGAAGTTGGAAGGTTTTTTGGTCAATAATTAGCGACAATGTGGTATGTGGAGAAAACTGTTCCAAAACATCTAAATGAAATTTATAGAGGACTAACATTCCTAATGAGAGTCGCTGAAACTATTTTGCAAATGTGATTAAATCTCTCCCGCATTCAAATTAGAAAACTGAAGATCTGTTCTATTGGATTTAAGTAATTACCTCAATTTGTCTCTCAAGTCTTACCCCTTAATATAGTGCCGGAAATGACGTGACGTCACGACAACAATTGGATGGAAGACGCTGGCGATTTACTCAATTGCAAGATAATAACTGCAACGTCTCGTAATGTGTACCATTTATACGTCCTTTGTTCGCACAAAATTTCAAATTTGACCGAAACACAACTTTCGAAAACGTTTCTCATTCGTTTTGGAAATACGCGAGCACTTTATCCGTTTTTAGGACGCTTCGGCTTGCTACTATCGCCGCCGTTTGAATGTGACTGCTAAATTCTCACTTAAGGTTACTAAAAGTAAAGTTGTTTGCGTGCTGATGATTACCCTTCCACCCACGCTTGGTGCAGTACGTTTGTTCATATCAAGATTGAAGATTAAGCGTCTAAAATTGTTCAAAGTTGACGGTGAACTGACAATTTTGTATCCGTATTAATAAGAAATGCATCCAAGTAGTCATTTTAGCATCGATTATCCAATCGGTACTAATTTTGTTTGTAATTGATGCTAAACTTTTCAACCTTGCGAGACGGTTGGATTACACCGGAATTTTCTTTTGTGCGATCCATAAAAGAATAAATTTTGGAAAATTATTTGACGATATTCAAATCTAAATGTGGGTCATTCTCAAGTTAATTATTGATCCGTTTTATAATATGAATATAAAATTACAAAGGCGCGCACAAAACGGAAATATTTGAATTTCTGAGGCGGTATCTGATGTACATCGCGTATACACTTAAATAGAAAGCTTTACAGTTGCATGTCGAGTTCTACCAAACTAGCAAAAGGTGGCTCTGTAAGTAAGTTTAAGAACTATTCTTAGGTTTTACGCCATGAAATGGTTATATTCATAGTTTGGGAATTACACCCCAAAAAACCAAGGCGTTTTCTCAGTAACCATAAGTGGGCACGATATTTGTTGGAGTTTAGTTTCTAAACGTAGATTTTTTCCGGCGAGGTAGTGTTCTAGCGGATTAGAATGTTACTTGTGAGTGAATCTTCCGGAAGCGAATATTTCGGCGGACGTTTGCCTGATGGTAGTTAAAATTTTGGAAGCGAATTCATCGTGGCCATTGTTATCACAGAAATATAAGGCAACTTTGGAATATACGTGGGACGAATATTGGGAAATGAATCTGAATGGATTCCGGATGTCGGGGATTTGGATCATCTTCAGTTAGGGCTGTTTGATTATAACTGCTAGTTCAGCATCTTTGATACTACAACGTGGCATATTATGTTTGTCGTATTTTATGATTTATTTACCCTGGGTTTTGTTTGATTTGTACAGCGGGAATTAAGCAAACGAATCAACAATTAAAGATGGCCGTTTGCGTTAATAACAAACTATTTTGGAGGCGTTCTTTAATTAATAAGAAGTAAAGCGGAGAAATTTTAAGACGTCGTTGTTAAAGACGCAAAGAAACCCGTGCGCGATCGTTGGAGAAAATTAAACTTAATCAATTCGCGTTGGGTGATCAATGCGACCAGTAAAATTTTGATTATTTCGGGTCGGAAACTACCAAGGAATAACCACGTAGTTTCGTCGCTAAATAGATTGGTGCAGAATTCATCAAGGGCGAGAGTCGGTGTTTTTTATGCATTATGGAAAACTCCACCTTAGAAAATTTGTAACAATAAAATAAGCTGTACCACCTTGCAGTTTTAAAGCTCATTTTCAATTAACATTGGGAAACTAACATCGGTTATTAATTAATGAAAAACAGAGATCATGCTATATTAACGTTCTCTTGTCTTCCAAAAGGACGTGAGCATTCGGAGCTGCAAGAATAATTAATTGTCTGGTTTAGTAAACGAATTTCTCCGTTTCTGTGAATAGAAACAGTGTTCATACTCATTTCTAAAGCCCGGTTCGTACATGCTTTCAATCCATGAACACAATTGTTCTAAAAAAAACTACACCCTAGAGCTTTTGATTTCGTTGGAAAATTTCTTGCCGTCACAAGGTTCCAATTTGCAGCTTCAGGATTATTTTCTCCATATCATTGTAAGGAAGCCGTTCCGAGCTTAGTATTGTGTCACCAGCGTCGCTACGAGACCATTTTTTTTTCGAGGCACGGTGATAACTATTTATTTATCATGACAAATAGGAAAAATCGTTTATGATTGACAATTCAACTCATGTATAAAAAATCACATAAGCCGCAGTGTAATTGTCACTTTGACAGCGGCAAAAGTTACCTGCAACTTTTCCAGCGACAAATGCACTAGTCGTTTTTTCACTTATTCATTTTCGAACCAATAATCGCATTATCCTTACCCATATGACTAGTTTGACGTCTGTCAATAATTGATTAGTTTGGTGAATTTCTTGTTCGTTAAATTGTCCTGCCGAATTACACTCGAGGTTTGTATTTAAACCGAATAAATTTGGATTGTGGCAATTCAAATCTGTTTCCTTTTAGCAATTGGACTCGAAAAACTGTCAACCTAAAAATGCTCCACCTGCGGTGTCGCATTTTTATTAGTTGACAGTTTTTCTCGTCAAATTGCTAGGCAACAGATTTTCATTACCTAAACAACCCAAATTTACTCGGTAAAATACAAACTTCTTGTGCAATTATAAGTGATTAAAGTATTTGTAAAATTAGTTAATAAAAAACTTGGATTTGTGTACCAGTCCTGTTCCTCTTGCGAATAGAAGCTGACCCACCACCAGGTCATTGAATGAGGCCTTGCGTTGGAACCTGTTTCGTTGTTGGTTCCCCATAACGAAAGGGTTTCTTTGGTTTGAATGTCCAAACTATTCCCATGAGTAGTGCAGAAATGCGATCTCACCTAGGAAGAGCTACTTTTCCCAGAGCTTGGTTGCCAGCCCCTTCCCTAAGAAAAGGAGACACTACTCGGAGGTCACTAAGTATCCGAGGAGCACCGTTATCAACACTGTACACCAAGCAGTCCTCGCTCGGTCGTTAACACCTTGACTTGGGAGGTTGGTTCCCAGCGACAACCTGCGTCTCTACCAGTCTGGGTTTTAGCCCCGACGAGCCAATGTGACTACCCACGCCACGGAAACACTTTACAATCACTCAGGTGCCCCCCTATCCATCAACCCGGTGGGTGCCTCTAGCTCAACTTCACTGCAATTACCTCGATCCAATTCTCTTAATAAAAAATGAACCCCTACTGTGTCTGAACCAGAAAATCCAAAATGCTCTCTTTCGCCTTCTACAACTTTGATCAAAAAACATAGACGAAATAAACAATATTGACATATTTTTAATTGAAATTTTTTAAACGAAATAATTATTTATTTGCAATATTGAAATTTTTATAATATAACTTACATGTATTTAATAAAAAAAAAAGGTTTCAAGATTTAAGAGAGGAAGAAAATTTCATCTAAAGATATTGTAGAAGGGAAAGTGCCCATAATACTAGCGGCATTGCCGCGCTGAATGGCCAGACTAATTTTTTGAATAAGAAATGTTTTTGAACGGTGCTCTCCTGTGGCATTTTTCAATTTCTTTCCTAAAGTATTTACAAATTGCATAGCTTCCGTACATCACGGTCCAAGGGTTTCAACAGCGAAAGGTAAGGTAAACTGCATTGATAATTTCCTGATATTTCCTCACCTTGTTAGCAGCAGCTTGTCTCGCAACTTCTCCAGTGGAATGATTTATATCAATCAATTCGATTCCAATGTTCCATTACACCCTTCAAGCAAATCAATTTTATGTTTGTTTAAACATCCAGTATCTCAGAATCTTATTTTATTTATTTTTATGTTATATTATATTTTTTAATTCACTGTTGTACTGAAAAAGTAAGTACTTTTTTCCACTGTATTTGTACAATGTATGAGATATAACTAATTGGGCCGTTTTTCCGAATTAACGAATAGTTCGGTGCTAATTTTTAGTTACAAATTGAGCTCACAGAAGCGCGAATACGAGTCTAAACAATTCTGATATTTTGACGTGATCTCTACGACGGCTCAAGACTACGAATTAGCAAGTTGGCAGTTTTCTTATCCGTGCACTGATATGATTCAGCCTTCTCATTATCTCGCGACCTAAAAAAAAACCCTAGCATTCATAATGCAACCTTCGACTTTACAAAAATAAAAAAAACACTTAACTCGTATTAACGTTGTATTAAGATTATTAGAAAAATGGTAATGGTTTGGTTAAATTATAAAAGATTGATGATTCGAGATAAATTGATTATTTAATTTAAGTAATTGTAAAAACGTTTATTACGTTGGTGAAAATTTCAAATAAATCCAAGAGACGAAACGTTGCAAAATGAATTATAATTTGGCGCATCCCTCATGGGAAGTTTTCATATAATTACGTTTACGTTACAGTGATAATCAAAATCAGTTTCACAAAGACAATTAGTGCAATACTTAATTAACTACGTATTTAAAGGAAAAATTTTCTCACGAAGCCTATTTGGACATTTCACTTGCCTTGCTTTTATTTGAATCAAGTTAATTAAAATGGATTATTATATTACAAACTTAGTTCTGTTAGAAACTCCCAAATAAGGCAATCAATATGTTTTGAGTTCGAGGGGATTTGACAAAAAATCGTGCATGAATTATGTAGGAACCGACTCTTCTTACATTCCCCCAAAGAAAGTGAGCGGGCAATGTTACACAAACCTCAAATAATTATAATCGCCACGATTTCCTTGTCCTTTTGTTTTACAGCTGCAGCGCACCTTGAGCGTATATAATCATAATTTCACAATTAATTAATTTCTTTTATTTTGCGTGAAGGCCGATGCAATATAACATTGTGCAAATTTATGAAACGGTTACTCGTTCGACAAAAAAAAAGAATTAATCGTTTTCGTAATTAGAAGTTATCGAAACCGACAATAAAGTAAAAATTAAAAAGCAATAAGGAAGCTAGCCACAGCATCTCGGGTATATTTGGCACCACATAAATTGCTGCACGTTCGATAAGTCTATAATTTATATTCAATTAAGCTTCGGTCTTTTGATAGCCTAACACTACGCTGGCAAATATCTTAATCACAAATCGCCGAGGTATGAAATTAGCTCGATTGAAAACGCTTAAAATGTACTTCATCATATTTTTCCAATAATCAATTAACCGCAACATTAATAATATAATAGTACAGGGCCTGTACTCAATTTTCTGTGATCATGGATAGGCAACCTTAGTTAACCTATTATGCTCGCTAGGAGAGAATGCCTACAATCATATGGTGTAATATGAAAAACATACGTGTTAAATAAAATTTGGAATTTTCACTATTTTCCACGTCCAGGTTACTTGGGGCAGTTGACTGAAATAGATAACAGGGGGGTTGCATGGTAACCAAGTAAAGTGGAGATGATTTCCGCACTATGAATACCAAAATATTTAGGATAACAGCAATATCCTGAGAATGATTTGTCTGTAGTACATTTGTTCATTTTAGTTCCAGACAACAATAATATAGAAGACAAAAACTACGATGTTTTAGTTACAACAAGCCTAATGCACATTGGGCAAATTGTTTACATAACAATGTCAATAAAGTACAATAGAGAACTTTCGAGTTTGGCATCAATCCATTTTAACTATCGCCCCAAAAAAGCCAATCAATCTGTATGATTACAAAAGATGCAAGGAAGGTCATCAAGTTCACCATTGTGAAAACATTGGATCTGTGCCAAAGGTCAATGAGTAAATACACCGTTTGGTCATCTACCCTTCGTTTGCATATTTATCCATAAATATGCGTTGACTCACGTGATAATTAAACTAGTTCATTAAATTTAAATGCGATTGTGATTGGATAACGGCAGATCGAGGTAGATTCTTTTACAATAAAAGGCGATATACTGTAACGCATATAAAACAGTTAAAGTACCTTATTTAAGAAAGTACCGTTGTGTTTACTTATACGACGATAGTTCACGGCCGCCTGGGTAACATTTAGTTTTACTTTCAATTGTTCATTCCTTTTTAATTTACCGTGTCGAGAAATGCGAAGAGGATTATTGCACATTTTTAATGGCCAAAGCGAATATGCAAACTGTAATAATTAAAAGTATCAGAAGTTTCATGTTTTCCCACACGAATCGATTTAGAGCCAAGTGTGATCCTTTCATTTTGAGATCATTAACCAAACGCATTAATTGGGTCACTTATAAATCGTGGGAGCCCATTCAACCCCCAATCGTAACGGTAAGCCCAAATCAAAGACCACCTACTGAGTACTGACCAATAAACATGTTACCTCTTTGATGAAAAAGTGGAAAAGTCTTTTTGTTATCTAATACCTTAGGTAATATTTGTACCTTTTACAGGATGTTAATCCCAAGTTGTGCTAAAAAACGAAAACAACGTGTTTCAGATAAAATGAGGATTGCGAAATTGCGCTTGGATTGCATTTCTTTTTAACTGGAGAACTATAAGACATATCAAGAAGGATGACACGTTTTTGATAGGATATTGGGTGTGCTAATAAACCACGAAGTACAAAATTTGGGATGTGCACCCTCTGTAAACTTAAGATTATCGTCTGGTAAAAAGCTAATAAGCCTCTAAAATTTAATTTTTAAAATTTTAGGCGCTTAGACACGAATTGAAGTTACACACGATGTCCAAGATAAGGATATCCGTAGAAAGATACGACGATTGTCAAATTAGGGAAAAGATGCGCGATTAAATAGTTATTATGATGCTGTAAAGAAAACTCGAAAGCTCCTATTACTTCCGAAGATATGCCAGAAAAACCAAAATTTGTCGACTTTCTTTTTATTTTTTCCGGATGTCATTTGAGCGATTACAGAAAAATTAAAAAAACACATTTTGAGCTCTACAAAACAGCGTAGAGAGATTTTTAATATAACGTTTCGTTTCGGAAATCATCATCATCTTTATAGTAGCATTTTTTATTACGAATACAACAATGTACGGCACACAAAAAACAATCAAGCCAGAATACCTATTTCACAAATTTTCCATTTTCCAGAAAATTTGTCCAATGCAACCGTATAATTATGGCGATTAGGAAGAAATCTTCATTAACTCACAATTTTACACTCTGTGCAGTATTATTTTTTTTAACTTCGGGCAAAATAACAATTTTGTGATTACGAATTCCGAGGACAAAGTTCAGTCCCCTTTTTTTTTGTTATTGCTGCATACGCATCGGAATAATTTGGCACCGAAAGTAAATAATAGCCTCTTTGTGGCGGAGAAAAATAGGACACTGGCACGTTTAATTAATTTGGCCTTCACTGGGTGCGATAATAATTTTTTTTCGACAGTAATTCGCCTACCCCACTGCTAAAGTATTTTATCGTCTTTTTTTTTAATGCAATACACATTCTCTTTATTTATTTATTTATACCCGAAATTAAGTTCCCAACCAAATCTCTTCTAAAAATTCCCGCGGAAAATCTAACAATTTTCTACCCTGTACTTTTATTACTGTTTTTTAAACTTCGGGTAATTCAACAATTTTATGATTACGAATTCCGATGACAAAGTTCAGTCCCCTTTTTTGTTATTGCTGCATACACGTCGGAATAAGTTGGCACTAAACGTGAACAATAGCCCCTTTGTAGCGAAGAAAAATAGGACACTGGCACGTTTAATTAATTTGTCCTTCACTGGGTACGATAATAATTTTTTTTCGACAGCAATTCGCCTACCCCACTGCCCAAGTATTTTATCGTATTTTTTTATGCAATACACAGTCTCTTTATTTATTTATTTATACTCGAAACTAAGTTCTCAACCGAACCCCTACTTAATTAATTTCTGATTACTTAACTCATTTTCCAAGTTGCGACGCTCCCTTGAAATGTATACTATGAGTCGCTGAATGTTCTGTAAATTTTACAAATCCCACAATAGATGACCCAAGGGTTAATTAATTCGTAATTTTAATCACGTAGCTCTAATTAAGATAATCGAATGTAGTCCAAACCCCGGACGAACGGGCGACACCGATTTGTGGAACTAACTATGACGTATAACAAAAACGACCGCTAATTCCACCAACTACTTACGGCCTTTTACAATTCCACCAGTCAGACAATTTATTCAACCCATATAATATGATGTAACCAATAGCATGCGATTACTTTGTAAATACGGACCAATAAGGATAAGATTACGTGGAAATTCCACTAGTTTTATTTCAAAAGTCACGAGCAGAAGAGCACGCACAGTTGGAAAAAGTTTGGGAATTCGTCGAACTCGAGGAAACTCCAGAAGTAGTCGAACTACTACAACTGGAGAAGAGATTTTTAAAGAAGAACAAACTGGAAGAACTGATACAGTCAGAGTGTGGCAGCCTCTAAAGGCGCCGGTGAGAAGAGCCTAAACGAGAAGATGCAACAAAATCTGTGGAGCCAAATCAAATGGCACGAGAAACATCCCTGGCATCACATTCTGTGTGGAGACCCACGCAAAAGGAGTATAACGTTTTCAGTTTTCAATTGGTAGAAGTGACGGTCTACCGGCTTAAATTCTATCCGAAAATATTCCTTACATATGGACCACTCGGTTTACAGGTTTTGTTGCAAAAACGAACAAAAGCAACGGCGGACACTAAAATACTTTCGGTTCTTATTACGAGGGTTGTCCAGAAAGTAGCAGACGTTTTGAAATAAAAAATTTTAAACTTGTAAAGGAAATCTATTATTATATAAGTACATTTTGGTGCTACACTCTTAGGCTATTTATCAACACAAGCGCCATTCATTGAGGCACTTATCATAGCTTATCATCCCAACGAAGGGGGAAAAGAGGATGATTTCGAAACCTTAAACGCACAAACGGGGTTGACTCACTGTGGCCACCTGGGCAAGACCTAAAATATAGCGTTTTCTAGCCTTCCGGGCAAAAACGTTGAGTAATTGTGTCAACTAAATCTTGTACTTTATCCGTTGCAATACAATTCGGTTACAAATAAGGTCGTTCTTAAAAAAAATGTTTTGATGGCGTCAAAGATATAATATATTCCATATAATTCGCCCACCTTACGTATACTATATTTATTTTTTTCTAAATTGTCATTGTTGTCTCAAAGCTCTCTAGTTGAGTAGGCGAAATGTCATTTTTTAATTTGATATAATTTACATTGCACAATGTGCTAGGCTAGCTTACAGAACACCTTCTCATCTTCTATTTACGTAATTCCTTCCTTGTCATCGTAATATAAATTGTACCTCTTTAAGTAATTTTTACAATAGAGTCGCCAACTTACTAAAACTAACACTGACATGAAGATGTCATTCCTCAATACGAAAGGAACCCTACACACTTCTCAAAAATACAATAATCAAAGATCCTTTTACATGTCTTCCGTCATATACCCTGATGATCGAAAAACATTTTTCTATCATCAAAGACACAATTTGGCTACAGTAGTAGTAGGTCAATTTCTTCTTGTAACCGTTAATTACCAAACTAGACCTGTTCAATCCAGAAAAAGTACCCATTTATGCCAATTTCTACTAAAAACACTTTTTAAAATTTGAATAGGTCATTTTCAACGAAATGGACATCTACGACAATTATAATGCAAGTATGTAAAGTAATCAATCGTTTTTTTTTTGTTAAGGGATGATTGCAGACCATCAACTGACTAAATCTCTAAAGTGCACTGTTTTCTTCTGTTGATTATTTTGCAAATGATTCAAAAATAGTGTTTAAAACCGATGAAACAAAGATACTTTAATTACCATAGGACAAACAAAATGAAATTATGCACGTATCCGTAAAAAAAGCAATTTGCAAGTCCCCTATTGCTTTAATTACGAATCGTCATTTCCAGAAATACCAAAAATATAAATCTACATAATTTGTCTTAATGCATAAGTGCATCTTTTCGATTCTAGCATGATAACGGGTACATAAAAGGATATCCGGTCTTCAACGCGCTCCCCTCTATTACAATACCCGCGTAATCACGTGACCGCGAAGTCGCGGCCCGAGCTTTCTTCTTTCTTCATTCCGTCGTTAACTCTGAAAGTAAACGGGTTAGATTAGTTAATGTGTATGTGCTTAAGCGCGTGTTATTTAAAGTGACCGTTTTACATGTGAAGTGGTGCAAAATACGCAATTTTTTTGGATTTACTTCATCTACTTGTAGAGGTACGTTTGTATTCTACCCTTGCGTTAAAGTCTCCCCAAAGCACCATAAGTTTTCGGTCATTCTTCATTTTGCGCCCCTTTAAAAACAGGGGCCAGAGTTTGCAAGGGTTTGCTGAAGACCTTTCTAGAATATTACTGTAACGATGTCTTCATTATGGTATTAAAAAACTTGAACGACTTGAAAGAGATCTAAATTACCTATACGGATACCGGTTTGGGAATTTACAAATTATTTTCTTACAAACCCCTTGCGCAATTCCAACCCATCGTATTGCTCTAATCGAAGATCATGCCTTCAAGACAATTTTGAGGGCCGACTAGCAGAAATTGAAACTTTAATCGTGTAATGAAAGGCAAACAAGTTTAATTGCAGTTCTTCATTATGGCCAAAGTTCTATTAGATAGAAAATGGTCAAATGTTCTTCGTATCCAATTCGCGGTCGAAATTACATCCCGCCGTCTAAGTGAAAGCAACAATTGCGAAACGACCCACCATCCTAATTGGCCCTATAAAATCCCCCAAAACACGCGTCCTTTCGCAATTGTAATTCGGGCGAGATTTATTCTAATTAATGCACATTAATTGAATTAAGTAGCTAATAAAAATGCTAAATAATTTAAAAATCACGTACTTTCACTAAAAAAACCCTAGGAAAACGCATTTCCTCTCGCGCAACCCCCCGACGTCCAATTCCGTAATATCGCGCGCATAGAGCTAGGTATTTACGCGGAGTTAATTTCAGTTAATGAAGCTAATTGGCCGGTTTTATTACTTTCAATTATTTAATACTCGCGCTGTTATTAGCGTAAGGTAATTACATAAATGTGGAGTAGTTGGTCAGTTTTAATTGCACAAAAATTGGATGCACTTATATAAAGCTATAAAATTGGCTTGCTTTATAATTTGGTCTAGGAAAAAGTGTAAGTAAATTAACCTTCCTGAAAGGTTTGATTTACTGTAATTACCGGATGGGAACTGCATCTTTGCTATTAGTTTGCTCGTCGATTCTAATTCATCTGCTGTCACCATACAATTTGTATGCAGATTTAATCACGTACGTAGTACGTAGTGTAAAGGATAACACTATGGTACCTACTGTTTAAGATGACACTGATGATGGTGTCTTTTTATGGCTGGGTACTAGATTCGCGCTGCTACTTCGTTTAATCAACGAAGAAAAATGTAGATTACGCGGGCTGGTTTCGAAACTGAATTAAATACTTACCTATACGGTATTTAATATTTAACTTGAAGTTTTTGATTTGAACTGGAACGGTTTCATCTGAGGTTGGATTTGCAAACTCAAAAGGGGATACTGTATTTGACACCTAAAATTGTAACTTATGACTGATGTATAATTACATTGACAATGACGCGAATGAAAAAGGATCGAAGTTTGAAATGAAATCAAACCTTACCCCTAACGCTTCACACGTGTTAATGAAAAGAATTGAAGTTTAGGGATTGAGTTATATATTGATTGGAGCTTGAAAAAGAACTGAATCCGGAGACTTGAACCTTGAAGTTGAAATTACCACATAACCATTTGTCCTGAAATTTTTAGAGCTCCGCATAATAACACTAAAAGTACCTGACATTTCAAGTGTTAATATGAATATGCATACTTGTTTGGAGTTCGTAAACCTGGACACTGAACCTTGAGGCTAAAAGGTTTAGTCTCCGATTTAAGGCCCTTTTAAAGGGCGTACAGCTCGACGTTTTACATTGTAAGATTTAAACAATCACTTTGAAGCTTTAATACTAAGCGAGATACTAAGTGTTCGACCATTAATTTTAAGAGTGTAGGTAAAAAGCAACAGTTTCAAATCAGACCTGAATAATTACACGTTGAGGTTTCAATGCGAATTTCAAACAAGGGTTGAATGTGTCGAAAATTTGAAAATGTATTGGAAATTTAGGAAATTTCCTTGGAAAAGCAGAATGTTTTAAAAATAAAAATTAAACAAGGTGGATTAAATTTAAATGCGAGAATGTACACATTTTGGAGTACGAAAGTCTGAAAATTGCTAGAAATTAATTTTTGCTCTGCAAATGGAGGTGTAGTAGGGGAGAACCGTTCGCGCTGGCATCTTGAATGAGAGGTACCTACAAAAAATCAGTTTTTCCAAAATAACTCGCAGCGTCTTTGGTTGAAAGCAAGATTGAATTTACTTTTGTCGAAGATTGAGCGAAACGTTGGTAGCGGACTTCTTTGAAGGTGTTCTCTTCCATGTTGCCACCATACAAAGCAACGAGAAAGTGTGCTCTAGCGTCTGTGATGTTCTCTGGTGTTCCAGAAAGCTAGTACGTTGTCAGGTATCCTCGACCACGAGTGAGACCCTCACAGTTGTTTTCCTATGCCAACATATTGTTCAAATACAAATATTATATTATATTATATTAGATTGGTGTGGAAAAAAATTAAAAATAGGTGCAATCTGTTTGCAATCGAAAATTGGGAGTTTTACAGAAATAGGTATTCATATTTTCGCCGCTGATGTTACTCGTGACATAGAAGTACAAAAAAGTACATTTTGAATTTATAAAATTGTTATAAGTAATAAATAGCGAGAAAAATTCAAGAAAATCACAAAAATTGGGGGTTTTGCAATCTTTTGTGGAAAAATGTTCATATTTCTGCCATTGAGCTCTAACTCGGAACATATTACAAGAACAAACAAACGTTTGTTACAAAAAATGTGAGGAGTTTCGTCTTCTTAACACCATCTTTTGTAGGACTAGACAGTTATACACTATACAGTACGTTCGAAATAAGAGGGTCATCTCAATATCTCTTTTATTTGGCGAGAAACGAAAAATTTGTTAAATACTCGTATAATTTTATATAATGACATTACGATCTTCTATCTGATCGCAAATTCAAACTTCCGGTATCACCTGAAATTGAAGCAACTTTTGTTTTATTTATTTATTTATTAATTATCCCTCTCTTGTTCTGGCCCTCAACAAGCTTGCGCCCAATTACAGAGTGATCCGCATAATGTTCAATACTACTCCGGTATTTACCTTAAGAATTAGGAAAATTGCAGGAAAACCTAATTCGGAATTGAATGAATTTGCTATACTACAACATAAAATAAGCATTTATGGTTGATGTTCAAAAAAATGGAGAAATTCGTGATTCAATATTAGAAAATTGATGAAATCTAGCATGCCGTGTGCCATATCATTTAGAAAAGAGACCTAACTTGTTCAATGTTTCGTTATTAAGATTTTCTTTTTTACTTTAACGAATTTCGTTATTTTTAGTTTCTTAAAGCTCGAGCTAGGTGGCTATCGCAATCACCGTTTTTTGGACATTTTAAAATTTCATTAAATGTAGAATAGAATAGAATACAACTTTTTTCCGTCTGTATGTATGTGCGTACGTACGTGCGTACGTGTGTACGTTGGCAATTTTCCGAGGTAACGGCTCGACGGATTTTGTTCAAATTTTAGATATGTATATTAGGCATACTGAAACGGAAAATAACGTGCCGGATTTTTGAAAAAAATTTAAGAGTGCCGCAACAGCATCAAACTTTTTTTTTTCAAATAGCAGCCTAAAATTCGTATGAAGTTGTTCCTTATTTTACAACCTACACAAAATTGTGCCAGGTTTTATTACAAAAAAACTGGGGAAAAGAATATCAAAATTAAAAATCTAAAAAATTTGTTCGTCAAACTGTCACTATGATTTCGTTAAAATTTTAGGAATGTACATTAGGCTTTATAAAGAATGTGGAACTGTCAAACACTTTTTTTAATATTTAAGTTTTTAGCGCCGTAACCGTAACGTCATATAACTTTTTTCAAATTTAATAACAAGGCAATATTTTTATTAAATTATTCGAAAATCTTTCTTTTTAGTGTAGAACAAAATTATGCTACGTTTTATTATAAAAAAAGTGGAGAAAATATGTCAAAGTTAAGAAATTATCTAGAAGCTTAAAAGTGGCGGTTAATATTTAGAATGAGCGATTAAGGATAATAAGGTGCAAAATGTCATTCTTATTCTTACGTGTCGATTGAATTGAATAAGAAGATTTGTGTTAACGGACTTTACATAATAAATGAGTTAAGTATTAGTAATAAACGGTGTAATAAAAACAAACAAAATAAAAAAAAGCGTGCAAAGACGTTAAACGGTGAAGAACGCTTTTTGGTCTGAGCTAGGAAGCTTTTCTGTCAAGATTTTGGCACTTTTTAAAAAATGTAGGCCATGAATTTGAAAAACCAAAATTTCCGCAATTTCCGGTTTCACCGGAAGTGATGCCAGAAGTTTCAACATGCGATTAATGCGATTAGATAGATCGTAATGTCACATATACAATTATATTTAACAAATTTTTCGTATCTCGCCAAATAAAAGATCTGGAACGCACTGTATACGATGTAGATTCAACCCATAAATTAGACTTGTCCGTCACTACTACGAATACATAAGGAAAACGATTAATTCGTAGTATGACGTTCTCCATAATACATTTAAATGTTCAATGTTAATTCTGTATTTCCCTGCAAACAACTAGACGGTAATTATAAAAAATAAAAAATCCTAGTTTGTTTTTTTAATTGATTTATTTCTCAACGTAACAGAAAACGATTAACTGTGAGAATTATTTCCAAAAAAACAAATCTTCTGTGTATACATTTTTTGGGCGACTAATGATCAAACACCCCTAAATTAGACTTATCCGTAGCAACGTAATTACAGAAAACGATTATTTCGCAATAAAGACATTTTACTTATTATTAAAATCGCGCACTATTTGGGTTCTGATTTGCAAAATTGCCCGACACACTTAGAAATCGCATTTCTGTTTTTGCAAATTACTACAATTCCATATAAATAATTCATCCGCTAATTCCATTATTTACACTTTTTTTATATTAAAACATCTACGACTCCTATTTTTAGTCACGTTTAACTGTCTAATTCAATTAGCGTATTTTTCCGAGCTGTATGTCAAATTACTATGACATCACGTACACAAAG